CCATTTATTTCTAAAATTCTGGAAAAAGCTGTTGCTAAGCAGTTATGTGACCACTTGCACAGGAATGATTTGTTTGAGGATTTTCAGTCAGGATTTAGAGTCAATCATAGTACAGAAACCGCATTGATGAAAGTCACCAACTGTCTTCTCCTAGCCTCAGACAAAGGACTCGTCTTCATACTTGTCCTCTTAGATCTCAGTGCTGCTTTTGACACCATTGATTTTATACATGCTCCCTTTAGGCAATATTATCAGGAGAAACACAGAATGAATCAGATCAGTTGGTCAAACCTAAAATGTGTTAAAGACAAAGGCCTGGATGACTTGTAATTTCTTACTTCTAAACTCCAGCAAAACCAAAGTTATTGTATTTGGGCCTGAAAACATCTCTTTTCATCACTACATATACCATTGTTTTCCTGTTTATGGAGGAGAAATTCAAATCAATTAATGCCGTTGCAGTTCGTTGTGCTGTCCACTTTCATAATCAGATTTATAGGATTTCAGGTATTGTCATTGTTGAAAACGTAGCCTATTTTTCTGTGTTTTCGTTCCCCCATCAAGATGCGTTTCCCCCGTTACAAACTCAGTTTTGTGTAGCAACCCCCCTCAGTAGTTTTGGTTAGGATGATGTTAGGATTCAGATTAAGGAGGACACATCTCAATGAGGAAATGGATTTCGATACAACACCAGCAGCAGGAGCTGTGCGCATTCACAAACTGGCCTCATTTTTAGAAAGAGACTCTGGTGTTATCGTTCTGAAATAATTAAAGACTATTTGGAGTTATGAGCGGTGCCAAGCTATTCTAGAGGTTTCTAAGATTAAACATTAAATGGAGACATGGGTGCATTTCTAATAAGATCAACCACACACATTATCAATGTATGATCTAATTTGTAACCTTTGAATAACTCTCTGTTGTTCAGCATCTGGAGAATGTTTTTTCTATCTCTTTGTCTTTCCTTCATGTGCTTAAGAAACTCTTGAGCCTCTTAAAAGTCCTTCTCTCAACTCTTAACAGCTTTTTCCTTTGGAGCTATAAGGGAGCAAAAATGCTTTGTGAATAACTTTTATCTTTACCTGGATCTAGGGTTAACTTAGAAATTATCTTAGAAAACACCACATTTCTAATCATTTTCTTAGAATATTGTCCCTAGGAGTGACTCTTTGATTTTGGGCACTTTTTGAATATGGGACCAGATGTACTATTGAGTACTTACCTTCACTTGCCTCATCCATCCTCCTTGTCCTGTGCCTAACTGATATAGTACTTACAGTGGGTACGAAAAGTATTCAGACCCCCTTAAATTTTTCACTCTTTGTTATATTGCAGCCATATGCTAAAATCATTTAAGTTTATTTTTTTCCTCATTAATGTACACACAGCACCCCATATTGACAGAAAAACACAGAATGTTTGATATTTTTGCAGATTTATTAAAAAAGAAAAACTGAAATATCACATGGTCATAAGTATTCCGACCCTTTGCTCAGTATTTAGTAGAAGCACCCTTTTGAGCTAATACAGCCATGAGTCTTTTTGGGAATGATGCAACAAGTTTTTCACACCTGCATTTGGGGATCCTCTGCCATTCCTCCTTGCAGATCCTCTCCAGTTCTGTCAGGTGGGATGGTAAACGTTGGTGGACAGCCATTTTCAGGTCTCTCCAAAGATGCTCAATTGGGTTTAAGTCGGGGCTCTGGCCAAACTGAGCTATCGGGGGAGAAGAGCCTTGGTGAGAGAGGTACAGAAGAACCCAAAGATGACTGTGGCTGAGCTCCAGAGATGCAGTCGGGAGATGGGAGAAAGTTGTAGAAAGTCAACCATCACTGCAGCCCTCCACCAGTCGGGGCTTTATGGCAGAGTGGCCTGATGGAAGCCTCTCCTCAGTGCAAGACACATGAAAGCCTGCATGGAGTTTGCTAAAAAACACCTGAAGGACTCCAAGATGGTGAGAAATAAGATTCTCTGGTCTGATGAGACCAAGATAGAACTTTTTGGCCTTAATTCTAAGCGGTATGTGTGAAGAAAACCAGGCACTGCTCATCAACCTGTCCAGTACAGTCCCAACAGTGAAGCATGGTGGTGGCAGCATCATGCTATGGGGGTGTTTTTCAGCTGCAGGGACCGGACGACTGGTTGCAATCGAGGGAAGGATGAATGCGGCCAAGTACAGGGATATCCTGGACGAAAACCTTCTCCAGAGTGCTCAGGACCTCAGACTGGGCCGAAGGTTCACCTTCCAACAAGACAATGACCCTAAGCACACAGCTAAAATAACGAAGAAGTGGCTTCACAACAACTCCGTGACTGTTCTTGAATGGACCAGCCAGAGCCCTGACTTAAACCCAATTGAGCATCTCTGGAGAGACCTGAAAATGGCTGTCCACCAACGTTTACCATCCAACCTGACAGAACTGGAGAGGATCTGCAAGGAGGAATGGCAGAGGATCCCCAAATGCAGGTGTGAAAAACTTGTTGCATTATTCCCAAAAAGACTCATGGCTGTATTAGCTCCAAAGGTGCTTCTACTAAATACTGAGCAAAGGGTCTGAATACTTATGACCATGTGATATTTCAGTGTTTCTTTTTTAATAAATCTGCAAAAATGTCAAACATTCTGTGTTTTTCTGTCAATATGGGGTGCTGTGTGTACATTAATGAGAAAAAAATGAACTTAAATGATTTTAGCATATGGCTGCAATATAACAAAGAGTGAAAAATTTAAAGGGGTCTGAATACTTTCCGTACCCACTGTATACACAACTGGTACCATAATGATATAGCACTGAAATAGCACACTATAGTGCTGGATATTTACCTTTACTGTCCCTGTTCTTTCTGCCTCATGAGTATCTCTTCATTTCCTGATATAGTGCTGACACAAAACCGAGGTAGGATCAGTGTAATTCTAATGTAGTGTTGATGGCGATACAGATGGCGACAACTCAAAGAAAAACTTGAATAACTGAGAGGCCATTTCCAGGATAACAGTGCCCCGTCCACAGGACATAGGGGATCACTGAATGGTTTGATGAAGATGCACATGATGTGAATCATCACCACCATGTGAATCGTCACCAGGTCTTAGCCCAGCTGAATAGCTATGGCAGATGTTGGAGCAGCGTCTCCACCACTGTCATCAAAACACCACGAGGGATTATTTGCTGAAAGAATGGTGGTCATCCTTCCAGTAATGTTCAGAGACTTGAAGAGTCAATGCCAAGGTGCACTGAAGCTATTCTGGTGGTATGTGGTGGCCCAGCACCTCACTGACACACTTTGTTAGTTTTCCTTTCATTTGTCACCTGTCTGTAGAACTGTTCAAGTATAGATATAGTATTCAGTGATGTCTTTACCTTCACCCTCTCTGCCCTTCCTGCTTCCTGAGCCTCTCTTTATCACCTGTTTCCCTGAGGTAAACAGAATGTTGAGTTCATCCACTGGACTTGTTGGAGTCTGTGACCTCATTGAGACGTTCTGCATGGAGCCATGGGTGGAGGCAGAGTTACTGAGTTTGGCCCTGCCCTCTGCTGCCCTGTGTGAGGATGATGACGATGAAGATGAAGAGCAAGGCATACTTCCTCCAGCCATCAGAGCGTCATATGGTGGTGGCCTCTTCAGGTTCAGAGGTGTCAGAGAGCGACCCATGTTTACTGGTGACGGACATGCTGATTGGCTGCGGGGGTAACCATGACCACTGTGGGCAGAGCCAGATGACTTGTAGAGATTGGACGGGAGAGGTGGAGCTGATGAGCGACCGGAGGATGTGATGGTGTGGGTAGAAGAGAGATCATCGTCTTGATCTCTGTCCCAATCCCGATCTCTGCCCCATTCTTTGTGGTGGTGGGTGGAGCTTTGTGTGTGTTCAACACCACCTGACTTGCTGTAGGAGGAGTTTTCTAACATGGGTAGCCGGGTGACATCTAAGGGAGTGAGGGGGGACTCATCAGAGTTGGGGGAGCACTGAGCAGGACCAAGGGGAAAGACGAGCAGTGGCGGGCGGTGAGTCAGGAGATTGGGAAAAGGTGGAGGAATGTCAGAGAGGGATCCATGGGATGACCAGGCTTCAGGATCCACGATGGTGGAGTGGGGGTCCTGCAGGAAGTCTTCCAACATTGGATACTTCATCTCCTCATACACTGACTCGCTCTGCTCATCCTCCACAGCTTCCTGACCTTTCAGCTCTCGCAGGATGTTTCCCACCATCTCAATATAGACCGGCTCCTCGTCATCTGTGTCTCTGGATGCTGGACTCTGACTCTGGGATGAAGATTTGTTCCACTGCAAAGAAGACTTCCTGTCGCCATGGTTACAAATGTAGGACTCATCAAAGGAGGTGCTGAGCTGAGTGTTTGGGTTCCTCTTCGGTTTAGGTGGAGGCATCTTCTTGTAGTCCTCGGGGTAAAGGTGGCATCGAGCTGCAGACAGGCAGATGTTAAAACCTTCCTCCATAACTTCCTGCTACAACATCGATGCAACAGAGATAAAAAGTGACCGAACTAATGGACCTACATATCCAAATTTGTAGACAGGAAACATTTTCCCATCGCTTCCACCACAGAATGAGAAACTTTAATCATTCAGCCCCAAAGTACCCGTCAAAGATAAATGACTCCTGAAGCATCTTATTTAATATTTCTTGCGCTCTTGTTTTAATCATTTGTAATTCTGCATGCCTCTAATTAAATGTTCTCACCCTCTGCCTGCTCCACTGTCTCTTTGGTCTCTGGGTATTCTCTCCTGGTCACTCCGGACCCCCCGTTCACTGTCTCAGAGCTGCTACTTAGTTTGGTGCTGGGGTCTCTCTTGGGTTTAGGTGGGGGTTGTTTTCGGTTCTGGTTGGAGTCGTCGTCTCCTCCACCCACAGAGTGGAGAGACTGGGATCGGACAGTGAAGCCCTGACTGGGAGTGGGCAGTCGGTCCTGTGGTGCTGGCATCGTCATGAAACCCATCCTGAAATGTTTCCCAGAGTATGCCCCATCTTTTGCCATGGCACCATCTTCATCAGTCCTGGATGGACCATTGGAAAGACACATTACAACAATCCTACAGTTACCAGCCAGTCACACATTTTCTAAAATATGCAAGTTTATTTTTGGCATGAAAACCCAAAACTAATCTGAAAACAATTTACAGGAAAGCCAAGAAAAATTGTATTTATATAGCCAAATATTCAAGAGGCTTTACAGCCTGCACAGCAATACAGCTCCTTGTGTCCATAGGACCCTTGAATCAGATCAGGAAAAAGTCTCCCAAAACAGCAGAGGGATCCCTATTAAGGACGGACAGGATGTAGATGTTGTGTATGGAGTAGGTGGGCATATTTATATTTATATTGTGACCAATCAAAATGACGGTGTATATGTGCACACATTTTGAAGTTGTCAGTTATAAAAGGAGAACTGCAGTGTACGTATGCACTTTTATAAATTAGATCTTTTATTTTGTCTATATGCCACCACTACCCGTCAATAACCATGTCTCCTCTCTCCCGTAGTGTGTCCTCTCTCTCCCTGTACCTTTCTACAGGTTGCCCTGGCCCTGGAGCTCTATGTCTTTGATGAGCAGTCACCAGCTACATCGACCTGATCGGTGTTTGATTGTTGTGTCTTGTTGCTTTTCTTCTTTTCTCTCTCCTCTATCCACACACCCCAACTGATTGAGGCAGAAGGCTGCCCACCAAGAGCCGTGGTCTGTTGGAGGTTTCCTCCGTTAAAGGGAGTTTTTCCTCCGCGCTGTCGCCAAGTGCTTGCTCAAGGGGGATTTGTGATAACAGAAAGGTCTAGACCTTACTTTGTGAAGTGTCCTGAGATGACTTTTGTCTTCTTGCACTTCACGCGTGTAGTCCATATCTGTACTGCAACAATGGCCCCTCACCCCAGCCACAATTGTTTTCAAAGGTGTAAAGTGCAGGTTCATTTCTTTTATTTTTACTTTATCGTGTATTTTGTATTACTGTAATCATTTTTATATGGATAAGTGGATGTGGAACGAATCATCTGAGTTTCCATTATTTCTTATGGGGAAATTCGCTTTGATATACGAGTGCTTTGGATGATGAGCATGTTGCCGGAACGAATTATACTCTCAATCCAAGGTTCCACTGTAAAAACATTTCAACTGGCATGTTTCATTGCAGCTCACATTTGCACTTCAAGACCTCAGGTTTAAGTCTTTTATGTGGTTGTATTTTCTACCTCTTGATTGCTTCTTCCTGCCGTCTCTTCTTTTGGTGCTTTTCCTGCAGGTAGGCCCAGTTGGTCTGGTTACGAATCCGGTCACTCTCTCTTGCGATATCGGAGGCGTTTTGGATCACCAAACCGTCATAGGTACGAAGTCCACTGTCTTCCACGTACTGAAAAAACCTCCTGAAGGAAGATGCATCTTCCTGAGACGTCATGACTGTAAAGCCCAGAATGAGGATCAGCTGAGGGTAACACTGATTACAGTTTGAGTCTGATCATGTCACAGACTGTAAACATACTCAGAATTTATGTTTAATGTTGACGCAAACCTGATAAGTCACAGTCGCTCCATAAATTGTGCTAAATTGTGTTAATTCACCTCTTTCACCCAAAGTCAGTGTTGGTTTGTTTTCGTGTCTCTTATCCACAACCGTCATCTTTGACCAAGCTTCAGTAAATGCTGTGCTGAATTGTGTTTACAGCTTGTAGTAAACTGTTGCTCTCGTGTCATATATCAAAAGAGAGGTTGATGGCGAGGTGCTCATCAGATTCAGAACATGACAGAAAACAAAGTCCTAAAAAACATCTGGAACATCAGGCACCAATAATCAGTTCATCAAACATCAGGTGTGATCAATGCTGCAAGGATGAAGTGACACCCTCTGCTGATGGTGTAGTGATGGATGGATGATGAAGAGTAGGATGGGGAACCAGAGCAGACCGAAGGTCAGTTTCATTGTGCATTCAGTCTGTACTTTTTAGTCAGAAAGTAATAATCACTGTTATTGATTAATTTCACTGTAATGTTAGGTAGGTAGGTAGGTAGGTAGGTAGGTAGGTAGGACTTTATTGATCCCACAGTGGGGAAATTCCTGTTAATTGATGAAAACACCGTTACAGAAACCACCATCTTGGCTTCATGACTACATATGGAAAAAATCACTCAGTTCAGGTGGCGCAGTGGGAAGAGTTTTGACTTTTATTTTATTTTTAAAAAGTTGATTAGACAAAGTTATTGAAAAATATACAGCAATTATGATTATTTATAGGTGTCATCATTGTTATTCAGTACTTTGACTCTAAATGAAACGATACCTTTGAAGACCTTTAGCTTTGTGAAGCTGTTTAAATCCACACCAGGTCAACCTTTTATACAATTTATATGTAATACTTCTCATGCATTTTGTTTATGCAGTGGGGACCCTCCCCCCCATGGGGATGTCCACCCAAACAATGCAGCATCATGTAAAAAGGTTGCACCTATTCCTATTTTATGGAAACTTGACGCCATCCGGCAAGGCACTGCATCGGGCAGTCACATACATGAAAGTGTGCAGTCCTGGTGGATTACATTGTAACAAGAATGGTGTATTTGTACTTCAGGATCGTCACAACACACTGATGTGAACAGAATAATAAATGTTTCCCTTTTGAAATTCAGCTGAATCTGTTTCACTGGAACTAGTGCGGCCCATCATTAGACCAGTGTGAAGTCAGTCAAGATGGGTTTGGCCTGCATCACACTGGTCTCTAATTTATCACTGATTTGATTTGAGGGCCATTTTAATTGAGTCAGTGGATTATTCTTCTTCTCCTCTTTCATTTCGCTTTCCTGTTTTATTGTTGTGTCGTTACCACAATGTGATATAATCTCTCTTGCTCTCTCTCTCTCTCTCTGTGACATGCATAGACATATTTTGTGACTTACAGTGGGTACGGAAAGTATTCAGACCCCCTTAAATTTTTCACTCTTTGTTATATTGCAGCCATATGCTAAAATTATTTAAGTTCATTTTTTTCCTCATTAATGTACACACAGCACCCCATATTGACAGAAAAACACAGAATGTTTGACATTTTTGTAGATTTATTAAAAAAGAAAAACTGAAATATCACATGGTCATAAGTATTCAGACCCTTTGCTGTGACACTCATATATTTAACTTAGGTGCTGTCCATTTCTTCTGATCATCCCTGAGATGGTTCTACACCTTCATTTGAGTCCAGCAGCTCACTGTCCTCCAAGTCAGGTCCACTGGTCTGGAGAGGGGGAGAGTTAGGCACTGGATTCCTGAGCAGCAATAAACATGCAGCCAGTATAGCTTTAATAACCGTATGCAACGGCTTTTTATTGAATTGAGTGTTGTATTGTAAGTAAAAGTGCTGAAAAGACAGCACACTTCCTGCGTTGTGCAGTAGAACTGTGGTTTCCCTTTGAAACGGGCCTTCCCACCATTTGGTTATAAAGCTGTGACACAAAGTAGAGCTGTTTATTAGGACAGCTTGTAGGTTCAGTGGTTTGCGTTCATGCCGAATAGAGGAGCAGCTTCCTGTGGGGCCTTTCATAATGCTGGGCTCGCCACAGGTGGCAGTTGTAGGGCCGATATCTTGATGGGAAACAGACTTTGAACATTTTACACATATGTTTTGTAGGAGCATATTTGGGACCTGCCAGATGTGTAAATGAACATTTGCTTGTTGTGACCCTGGCACAGTCATTTCTCCTTCCAAATGTATTGGCTATATGCAAATGAGTGTATATAAACCCAATTTCTAGGAGACAGTGTAATCATCATTGTGGGGGAAACACAGTAGAAACTGGGTCCAGCTCTTCAGTCAAACTGGTTTTCTTTCAAAGCAGTTGTGGACAAATAAGCGAGCTTCCCACAGTTTGAGCTCCAGTCCATGTTCTCTGGTCTCAAGAGGACTTGATGATCACATCATCAGCTGAACGTGTTTTCTCCACTTCTTGTTTCTGTCAAACGCTGTGAGTCAGAGAGAAGGAGGCAAGCAGAGGATTTCAAACAGGATCTGCAAGGAGGAATGGCAGAGGATCCCCAAATGCAGGTGTGAAAAACTTGTTGCATCATTCCCAAAAAGACTCATGGCTGTATTAGCTCCAAAAGGTGCTTCTACTAAATACTGAGCAAAGGGTCTGAATACTTATGACCATGTGATATTTCAGTGTTTCTTTTTTAATAAATCTGCAAAAATGTCAAACATTCTGTGTTTTTTTGTCAATATGGGGTGCTGTGTGTACATTAATGAGGAAAAAAGAACTTAAATGATTTTAGCATATGGCTGCAATATAACAAAGGGTGAAAAATTTAAGGGGGTCTGAATACTTTCTGTACCCACTGTATATGGCCCTGACACTGTTTTCTCCCTAGGTGTTTTTCGGGGAGTGAGTCAAACTCTGGGGTTTTACATTTAATTTGTGTGAAGAACTTTGTCCTTATATCCCCATAGGTGTTAAAGTACAAAGTGTTGCTATATCTTCACCTCTGTGGACAGAGCTGACACAGTCGGGTTTTTTTTCAGGCCTCCAGATCTTTCTGTGTTGGCTGCTCTCACTGGTCACTGTGTCTGTACATTGTCAGTGTCTGATCAGTCACGATGGCCAGGTAGTCTGCCACCTTGTACTCTCTGTTTAGATCCAAATAGCATTGAAGTTTATTTTGAGTTTTTGTGGTAGAAGTCCAATAGTCTGTGTAATTTTCTTTTAGTTGGATGTTCCTGATTGTGTGAAGGCTGTCCTGAGGCCTTGGAGCTGTTAGAGGAGGTGAGCCTCAGGACTATCTGGATGACTCTCTCTTTCTCATTCTCTTTATTGCCCCCCATTCTCTCTCTCTCTGTTTCTCTGTTGTCTCGTGGTGTCTCTCTCTTGTTCCCCTCCCCCACCTCTGTCTATTTCCTTCTAAAAATGGATCGGGGAATCAGTCAGTGGTAACCTAGCAACAGCAGCATCTCTCAGAGGAGGGTGATGTAATGTTTCCTGTACATGAGTGAGGAGGAGAGAGGAGGAAGGAATGAGGGGAGGACAGGTAACATCAAACATTACCATAAAGTTCATAGCTTTCACTAGCAGAGCATTTAAACCACCCCCATCCGGCCCTGGACCTGGACGGGCAGCTTTCCTTTGATCTCCCTACTTTCAGTATGGTTAGGGGTCCCTCCCCAGGGCTCAGCAGAGAAACACAGCACATTCTGTGCCAGCTTCTCCAGATGTTTCAGAGATTTCATTCTTCTGACAGCTGTAGTGGAGTCTCCCAGTCTGACCAGTCTGCCTCAGGTCACCCAGAGTCAACATGCCCATCCCCACAAAGCAGTTCAGAGTTGATGCTGCCAACTGGAATGTCCTGGCTCCACATCCTGTCCTTTGGCACCAAAGTAGTGCACCAGTTTAGCTTTTCCAACAAGCCAGCAGGTGGGTTAACAACTGCCAACTTGCACCGCTGTGATGACAACACTGAACTGTTGATCATCAGTGTCTGATCCTCCTGAGAGAGAGGACCCACTTCCACTTTTAGTGGCTATTTTAGATAAAGCCGCCTCCCAGTTCTTACCGACCCCAGCCTCCAACCCCAGGTAGAGCCCAGGTTGGACTCACAGGTCTGCTCCCACCATGATCCACACAGACCCCCAGGTAGCTGCAAGACCTCTGACTCACTCCAACTCTCACAATATCCCTCTCTCCTCCTATTTTACTTCTAGGCTAATTCATAAATCTGAAACTGCTGTTTATTTAATCACTGTGGGTACCAAACCAAGATTTAACCCCCGTCAGCCAAACACTGCCGCTTCTCCAGCTCAAAGTAAAAAGAAGTAGAAACATTTATTTCATTTCAGGCTCAGCTCCACTGTGGATTAAGGAGCACAGATCTGTTCCTCTCTTTCCTGTTAACTCCCCACTGTTTCCCCACATTCACTGAAAAATAAAAGCAAACATGCAAAAAAGTAAAAAATAAGAAGAGGAGTAGATACATTTGTTGTAATGTTAATTTTTAAGTTATTATTCTGCTTTCATTAAAATTTTGGACAAAGTCTTTGACTTAATTTTGATTTTGTCTAAAAACACTTTGAGCACAGATAAGACTCAAACCTTTCAGTAAAAGTTTCACCATTCAGTGTAAAGATTAACACTGAACATGACCTTTGACCATGAATTAGAACTCCATCCTCTGTCCCAGTTACACTGCCCATCACTTGTATGGACCTAAAACCTCTGATAGAGTCCTGCTGATCTGTATGTCAGTTTGAGCAGAGCACTTGTCATGTTGGCCGTAAGGACCAAAACTTAGTGTTTGTACTTAATCAATAAAATTGATCAAATTAAAAGGGTGACCAACCGCTTCCTGTTTGACCTCTGACTCTCTGTTCAGGAGGATTGCTGGTATTCCACCTTAGTTTATCTTTGATTATTCAGAGCTGAAAACAGTTCTGTGTGGCTGTGGCTCAGGAGATAGAGTGGGTCATCCCCCAACTGTAGGGTTGCCAGTTTGATTCTCAGTTACTCTGGTCTACATGTTGAAATGTCTTTGGGCAAGACTGAATCCTAAGTTGCCCCCAGTGATATCACAGATGTGTGAATGGGAAATACTGCAAAGTGCTTTGAATGTGCTTCCTTGTATAGTAGGTGCTACATAAGAAAATTACCATATCTCTTTCAAAATAAAAGCAGTTCTAAGTTATGTGTAACTTTTCTTTAGTCTGTAACTTTGTTCTCAGTCCTGATCCAAGATGGCAGCCATGTTGAAGATGAAGCTGCTCTTTCTGATTTCACTGTTAGAAACACAAACAGGGTGTGAAGGAGCTGGATCTGAGTTAAACAGACTTTATTGGCACTGTCAGCAAGGACAGCAGCAACTTCAGCACAGCAATATTCAACAACACACAGACAAAGGTTTGGATGGATGAATAAAACCAGAAGAAACTAGTATGAAACATGGCAGAGTGAAGTTGCATGAAGGAGCTGAGAAGAGACTTACCGGAGGATCTGCAAGGACTCAAACCCCCTCCATCCTTCCTTCACTGTCTCCTTCAGTGTCTCCTAAATCCTCCTTTCACTGCTGCCTCTCGACCTTCAGTGATTCCTTTAATCCTCCTTTACGTGCCTCCTTCACCCTTCAGTCCTCCCAGAAATAAGGATAGAATGATGAAGCTTCCTTTCGTTCTCGCAGATCTCTGCAGCGCAGAGGAAACGATGACTCGCTTTGATTCTTGTCTGCAGCAACATTAATCCACATCCACCTCCTTCCTCCTGTCCTCCCTCTCTTCCTCTCCTCTTCCTTCTCTTCCTTCCTTCTGTCCTCCCGTCATATATGGTCACAGCTGTAAGAGTCACGGTTCACGCACACACATTCACACCCTGCAGCCACACACACACACACCCATCCCCGGTGACGGTAACCACAAGAAACAGGAGGCTGAAACCACGGCAACCTGACAGCATCTCTCACCCTGCTGACTCCTCCCCCTGCTGGTGGTAGTTGTGGTGGAGCTTAAAAATCCAATTGTAATTTATTTTTCAGTAATTTCTACATCTTTTAATAGGAAATAAGCAGCCATGTTCTTCTTTGTGTGGGTGGGTTAACCTCTTTCAGATAGATGTGCAGCTGTTTTTGTCATCTTCTACATGATGATGAAATTAAATAGTGTGATGTCATGATGTTTTATGACACATCACATCATGTGATGCCACAGTTCACTGATGCTGTGCTAGATTTACTGTCAGATCTTAAAGCTACAGAGAGAAATGTGATCACTATAGGCAGGAAGTCCACAACATGATACCATGAGGGTCAGTCTGTCAAGGTCTGGAGTCCTCAGACTTTTCCTTCCAGTGCCTGACGACACCGAGTCAAAAAAAAAGCTGAACAGTCTGGACTAAGTTCTGCCCTGACCACTACCATTCATTCATTCATTCATTCACTTATTCATGCACACATGACCTTGACCTGTTGTCAGTCACTGACGTGATCATTGTGGCCATGTGAGGTCATGTCACTTCAGATGTGACTACATAATTTCAGGTTCTGCTTAATGTAAAATTATTTAAGAGCAGTTGTTTATTTTCTCACTTTATGATGGAGTTCAAGTAATTTAAGAAAATTCTGTGGGAGTTTGTTTTACTCTTCAGGTCTTTAAAAAAATGAACAAAAAGACGTTTCCTGTAAATCTTTGTCCATCATATAAATAAGTTATACGCTGTTTAAATATATTGTAGAGTTGCTGTAGAATTACTAAACCTGTAAGCCCATTGCATGATCTCTGGTTATAAAACAGCAGTGTCGCTCACCAACGCAGACCCCCAACCCCTCACCCCCGAGGTGCTGAACTGCGCATGCGCTTCGTTCTGCAGCAGACGATATGCGTGTGTGTGTGTGCGCGTGTGCAGCCACAGACCGCTCAACTGCGTGCAATAATCTGACGGATTGGTTTAACCCGGTTTTAGCTGGCTCAGTGTTAATTAGCACGAATCTGTGTACAACCCGCCGCGACAGCATGTCGTCCAGCCCGCAGGACCAGGAGCAGAAAGCGGAGACGAAGGAGAAGGTGAAGACGGAGGAGAACGAGAATAAAAATGAGACGAATCGGCAGAAAAAGGGCAAGATGAAGGAAGAAAAGGAAGAAAAAATCATGGAAGGATTTTATCTACAATCCGGGCACCGGACAGTTCCTGGGTCGACCAGCCAGCAGCTGGGGTAAGTCAGGCGGCATGGGAGACCTGCGGCGAGTCCGAGACAGAACGGGTGTGTAAATGTCAGTAGGCTAAATATCAGATTACATTAAAGTATATATCACAGTATATTTCTTGTATGACTGTGGGGGAGAGTCACAGTCCATTTGTCAGACCAGGTTCCTGTTCTGCTGCTGGGAGCTTTAAGGCAAGCAGAACAGGATACAGACATTGTCAGCAGGTGTGTGTGTGTGTGTGTGAGAGGGAGAGAGAGATCAGTGACCATGATTATCTAAAGCTTTAATTATTTTCATTGTGTTGGGGATTGTGTGGTATTTATAAAAATAGCAGATTACTGTTAAATTACATTATTATTGTGTAGGTTTCAGAGTGTACTACAAAATTCTGCAGTTTCTAAATTGCCTCTATGTATTTTGATGTATCTGTATATTTTCTCTGAACTTTTATTTTTTTTCTCAGTTGTGTTAAATGAATTTTACACATCTATGTCTTTATGTGCACCATTTATTTCAGATGAGGAGTCAGCTGCTTACAGTTGTGGTCAGAAGGTCACTGGTGTCATGGTGCTGTCATGGTGGAAACCTGAGAACCAGCTGGTCCACACAAGATGAAGGAGGACCTCTGTAAAACACGTTAGCCCATGTGAATCATGAAGCAGCAGACAGAGGGACTGCAGCTTCTGTGGTCACTAAAGCAGAACCCCAAGTGGAGAGACAGACTTTAAGTCAGACTGTTTTCAGCAGTGACCTACAGATGGAGTCGTGCTGCAAAGTGTGACATTATGGATAACTCAGGATTGTATCTCTGCTCTAGGCACAGGATGTGGTTCTTGTTGGGTTCATCAGAATGGGACCTTCAGTCAGCAGTGGGCCAATTTGCAGTTCAGTATGAAGCTACAGTACAAAAGTCAGCACCTCCCAGTCTGAGCTTCTGGTACTCAGTTGGAAACCACATGGATTGTGCCTCTCAAATAAGAGGGAGTCACTAGCCCCAAGTGAAGAAGTTCAAGTATCTGATGACTGGTTGCCCAGTTAGGGTTGGGATGGCAGTGAGAACAGAGTCTCTGGACTCTCTACCAGACTGTGGTGGTTCAGAGGGAGTTGTTCTTGAAGGTGAAGTGCTGGATTCACTAAACGATCTCTATTCCAAAACTAAATTATGGTCCTGGTCTGTGGGTAGGGACAGAAGAAATGAGAAGGTGGACCCAAAAAGAATTTCCTTGCCCCAGTTTCTGAACTCAGCTTTAGACACAAGTTGGGGATGTCACTTCAGAGATCCAGGCACAGGAGGAGGAGAATCACTGCTCCATCTTGAGATTAATTTGTTGAGGTGGTTTAGCATTTAATCAGGATCCTCCTGGACATCCTGTAAAGGAGGAGAGCCAGACCACTGGAGGATCATATATCCCATCAGACCTGAGAACACATCAAGATCCTCCAGGAGGTAGAGGTACTTAAAGAGACGGTTGTCTGAACTATAGGTGGAAGTAGGGCTGCATGATAAATCATTTTGGGAGTGTGATTTGCATCCCTGTGTAATCTCTCATGTGACAATGATTCTGCCTTGCATCAAGCTAAGTGCTCCCTTTTCCAGGGAGAAAAATTCTTCTGACTTAGTGGAGCGCCACCTCCTTTCCATTTTTCGTGATGCCTGCTTTAGGGAGCGGAGCTGCGAGCTGTACCACGGGGCTAGCCTCCTCTGTTTCACTACCTTCTTTTTCAGAGGGGCAACGGTATCAAGTGTATTACGCAGGAAGGCTGCAGTACTATCAACAAGATTATCGATTTGTGTGGGAGTAAAGTTAAGG